GCTGGGCTGGCTGGGCACAGCCACCATGCCCTGGGAGCAGAGGTTTCCTGCAGGAAAGGTCACAGCAAACAGAATTTTCCTCCCCTGTGTGTTATCAGTGCTCTGGCTGCGGGAGGAGACACTGGGAACTGCAGAATGCAGCAGCAGCAGCAGCACATCAAAAGTTCCTCCCTTCCTCTGAGCTCTCAGCCTGGCTTTTTGTTGTTGTTTTGGAAGGGGGAAAAAAAGACTCCCAGCCACGCAGCCCTCGAGAGGGACACAAAACACAAGAGCTGTTGTTGTGCTCCTTTCCCATGCTGTAATAATTATCAGGGAAAATCCTGTTCAAAGCAAGCAAACCCCCTCTCAGCCCCGTTCCTAAGCCACAAATAACTTTAAAAAGTCCATTTTAAAAGCTGTGTTATATTGGGTGAGGGGGATTTGCTTCTGTGTTTCCAAGTCCTGCATCACAGCACAGGAAAAGAGAATTTAAAATGTGTCCCAGCCACAAGGACTCAAACCAAGCTCTCTAAAAGAAAGCATGAGAATCTCAGCTTTCATTCAGTGCCCCCATTTCCAGCAGCCAGGATTTATGCAAAAGAACATGAAATGCCACGGGGCTTGTAATAAAAATAAAATAAAATCCTGAAAGCTCCCACCAGGGCAGTTCTGCAGCTTCCCTGGGCTGTTTTCAAGCAGCACAAGACTTCTTGGCCTCTGCCACGAGCAAAGGAAAGGAGGTGGAGGGGGATGGAACGAGATAGGAGCTGCTGGCAGGGCACAGCCTCTCTGCTGAGGATTTAAATGCCAAGAAAGTTCATGCTGGATGCTGTTATCCCACCAGATTTATCCCTGGGAACTCACTGGGGCTCTCCCAACCCTTGCTCACAGTGGGCTTTGCTCCATCCCACACAAGAATTGGGGTTTTCCTCCTTTTGCACTTAAAAACCAGGTATAAAACCCAGAGGAACTCTCTGGTTTGTGCTTTCCTTCCAGTGCTGAGGATTTCTGAGCAGCTGCAGGAGGATGAGCCATTTCCCCTGGCACAGAAAGGTCTTTTGCTCCATAAATATTTCATTTCATGTCCTCTCCTGGCTGCTGGAGCACAAAGAGGAGCCTGGCACAGCCAGGGGGACCTGACCCAGCTCAGGGGGAGCAGAGGGTTCCTCACACATTTTCCCAAGGAAAGAACAGCCAGAGTGATTTAGGAAGAGCTTGTGGCACTGTGAATTATTCAAGCTGCTGCCACCCAGGAGCTTGGGCACATCTGGAGCTGCTCACTTGGAATATTCCCATTCCATGCTGGGCTGTGAGGAGCAAAGAAGCCACAGAGGGTTCCTGACCAGACAGGCACCCACAGAGGTTTTATCTGAGAATCCAGGCACCCAGAATGCAAATGTTGCAGGAAAATGCTGCTTCAAACAACTGCACAGACAGCAACGAGGAGGGGATGTGGGCAGAGCAATAAAAGCTGCTGTTTATGTTTGGATGCAGATTTTCCCCAGCAGCACTGGTCACCAAGCAGAGGAAGGTTCTGACTTCAGGGAAAATCTGGTGGGGACTAAAAGCCTTGCAGAAGTAAACCAGCCTGGCTCAATGACTCCCCTCCAAGCCAGGGAAACACTGGAGCATTAATAAAACCAGCCTGAGCACTGAAATGCAAATGCTACTCCAAAAATGAGATAAAGAGAAGGATCCTGCTCCCAGAACAATGCTGGGGCTGCAGGGAGGGTTTGACAGAACCCCAGACCCTGCCCTGGGGGGAGCCCCAGACAGGAGGCTCCTGTGGCAGAGTTTAATTTTGGCAGGGCACAAAGGAACTCTGCAATCCCTGTTCCTCCAGGAAGGAAGGAAGGAAGGAAGGAAGGAAGGCAAAGCTCCCCATGGCAGGGATGGGGCTGACATTTCAGAGCAGGGCAGGGAGGTGAAGCCAGGATAAGGTTGGCAGCTGAAGCAGCCTCATCTCTCACCCCGGCTCAGGCTGTGTTTGCCTTTTTACTTTAGCTCAGATTAATCCTGCTGCACTAGCAATCCATCCAAATCCCAATCCTAGGAGGGATGTTTGTCCTTCCCTTCCTTACAGAGTACATATTTACCTTGCTCTTAACACAGCCAGGGCTCAGAATCCATCCAAAATACCAAGGGGACAGCTCAGCTCCCTTGAGAGCAGAAGAGAGAGCAGAAACACTCCAGCACTGCAAGCTGGGTGTCCCACAGAGCTCAGGGCCTTCAGCCCTGGATTTTTAACAAAGAAAACACGTGCTGACAATGCAGAAGGTGCTGCTGAACCAGCCCAATGAAACATCCCCCTCCTGCACTGCTGGAGCCAGGCTGGGATTGGCACCACAGGCAGGGACTGGCAGCTCCAACAGCTCAGCTCACACCAGGGCAAGCCCCAAAAGCTGAGGTCTCCTCTTTAACTTGATTAAATCTACCCAGGGAGGCCACAGAGGTATCTGAGAAATTAAAAACAGGAAGGAAGAAGCAGCAGAGCTGCTGGATGCACCCTTTGCCACCTCCTGACTTGCTGCAGTTCAAGGAGGAGCAGATGAACTGAGATGGGTTTGGAAATGCTCCTGTTCACCTGATTTCCACAATCCTCACCCAGGCACAGAGCTGAGCACCCAAGGGCTCACTCCCTCAGCCCCTCCATGCCCTGCACAGAGCACAGGAAGGAGCATTTCACACTCAGCTTCCTCTGCTGCCTCTCACACTCAGCTTCCTCTGAAGCTTCCACCACTCTGAGAGAAACAGCAGGCAGGGGAAATGAAAAACCACCTATAAACCTGCTGGGCAAGGGGAGAGAGCTGCAGGAACCTGCTGTTCCAGCCCCTGCACCAGCCCACTCCACTGCATTTTATGTCCCTGCACCTCCACAATGCAGCTCTTGCTATCAGGTGCCTCTGCTTTGCAGGGGCTGAGCCCCAACTCCAGAAAACCACTTAGAAGAGCGACCATTCCAGCTGGTGCTTTAAAAGAGAGGGGAACTTATTGGTGATGCTTTTTCTCCCTTTACAAACCCTTAATGGTGGGAAAAGCGCCAACTCCAACTTCCCTGTGAATTCCCTTGGGCCTCCCTCGGGTTTTTACCAGCAGCTTTAGTGAGAAGAGAGTTTGGTGATGAGGACAGCAGGGAAAATCCAGGCCCTGAGCAGAGAGTGAGCTCATGACTCATTTCTGATGCTGAAGCAGCTCCAGACAGGGGTTTGTTCACCATGACAGGGGCAGGATGTGCCAGCCCAGCCTTACCCAGAGCTTGCCATCCCAGTAGAAGGCTCCCAGCAGTTTGACGATGTGCGGGTGGTCACAGGTGGCCAGGATCTCAATCTCCACCATGTAATCCTCCAGCTCATCCTCACTCTTGGTCTCGATGACCTTGGCAGCTGCCAGAGCTCCCGTCTCCTTGTTCTTGGCCTGGAAGGGAAAGCCAGGGTGAGTGCAGAGAAAGTGAGGAGCAGCAAATTGCTAAGCTATGGAATCTGCTCCCTGGACTCCTCCAGGGATGGGAACTCCACCCTGGAGCAGCTTTGGGTTGTGGGTGTTTTTAACATTTATCACTGGTGTTTAACATTTATAATATTTATCACAATATATTGTGATAAATATATTTATCAACATATTATCACAATATATTGATAAATTAATTAATTTATCAATATAAAAAATTGCCCTCTGCTATGTTGAAAACTCCCTTTTTATTGATGTAGATGAAAACCTCCATTTATTGAGTCCATTTATTTTATTTTATGTTGATGGCAAGCTGAGCTGTCAGTGTGTGTGCTCACAGCCCAGCAAGCCAAGCATTAGGATTGAAATTTGCACAGAAATTCAGAAATATCTGCCACAAAATGCTCTAAAAGTGTAGGAGGCTTTTAACACTGCCCATTCCACGGATGGTTCCTGTCAATTAAAGAGCTCCAGTTCCTGCTCAGCTTGGCTGGCCCCAGCCATCCCACCGGGAGGGAACTTGCAGGGGCATTTCTGCTTCCCAAAGCTGCCCACAGAGTGCCTGGGTCCTCCTTCCTCCCTCCAGGCTCCAAAGCCAAACCACTTCCCACCACAGGGAGAGGGAAACTTTGAGGGAAGGAGATGCAGCTTGTTGTTTGTAGCATGGGGGAAAAAAAAGGAAGCAAGGAAACCTCAAAGTGTAGAAGTTCTCTGATGATACCACAGGTGAATTACTAGAAATCCTGAGTATGCAGATAATCCAACCAACATCTATCTGAGGGTGCAGCCAGGTGGGGATGGCACTGTGCTCCCAGGGACAGGGACAGGAGGAGAGGGAATGGCTCAGGCTGGGCCAGGGGAGCTCAGGGTGGGCACAGCAGGAATTTCCCCATGGAAAGGGGGCTCAGGGCAGGCCAGGGTGGGCACAGCAGGAATTTCCCCATGGAAAGGGGGCTCAGGCACTGGAACTGCCCAGGGAGGGTTGGAGTGCCCATCCCTGGAGTGTCCCAAAAAAGGGCTGGAGGTGGCACTTGGTGGGGATGGGGCACAGCCTGGATCTGATGATGTTGAAAGCCTTTTCCAACCTCAGCGATTGTGTAAAATTTGTAAAATCCACAGCCCAGCTGCAGCAGGAGATGTGTCACTCGTGGCAGAGAGGTGAGACAGGAGCTGCTGACTCAGGAGCATCCAGACATTCCCAGCAGCTCACTGAGTCAGCAGCTCCCCCACTGCTCCCCACAATTCCACAATTCCACCTCCTCCCCCCTTTTCCTCCCCTCTCCTCCAGGGGAACAATTCCCACTGTGGATGGAATCCCTGGAGGAGCTGGCCAAGCTCTGTGGCAGACAACTTTTATGGAAAATCCTTCGCTTAGGATTTTTCCTCCTGAGAAGCTGGGAAGCCTCAGGAACAAAATGTAAACATTGATTATCTGCTGCTGTGGAATGCAACAGGTGCATCTGTGATTGGGCTCATGTGGTTGTTTGTAATTAATGGCCAATCACAGTCAGCTGGCTCAGACAGAGAGCAGAGCCACAAACCTTTGTGATCATTCTTTGCTATTCTATTCTTAGCCAGCCTTCTGATGAAATCCTTTCTTCTATTCTTTTAGTATAGTTTAATGTAATATATATCATAAAATAATAAATCAGATTTCTGAAACATGGAGTCAGATCCTCATCTCTTCCCTCATCCAAGAACCCCTGTGAGCACGGTCACAAAGCTCAGCTCGTGACCTTTCTCCCCACTCTGCAGTTTCCATCTCTGTGTTTGGAAAACCCTCAGGGGAGCTCACAGGAGGATAAATCCCTGCTGCAAACACCACAAACCCCCCTGAACAGCTTCACACAGCTTGGGTGACACTGTCACACGCACCAAGGGACAGCTGGGCAGGGCAGGAAGGAATATTGGGCAAATCATTCAGCAGAGGGAGGAACATGAGGGATCTGCGCTGTGTTTTGAAGCGTTGCTGCATTCCAGGAGCTGGCAGGGACAGCCCTGTCCTCACACAGGGGACAAATCCATTTCCATCTGGGCTCCCTGCCCACGCTCAGGCCAGCAGCTCCTGCTGCTTTCAGGAGAAATTAGGGGGTTTCTTTAGCTCAGCCCAGCTGGGTTCTCACCCAGGCAGCAGCAGAGGCTCTCACACACAGGGCAGGGCAGGGGGAAACGTGGAAGGAGCACGGGGAAAGGCTCAGCCCTTCCAAACAGGAGCCAGAAGTGCCCCACTGTGTTTGCTCTGCACTCGCAGAGCTGGGAGAGCTCCAAGCAGGGGAAGTAAATATTGTGAGAAGAGGTGGGGCTTCCCCTGGAGCTGTGCTCCCAGCGGAGGGGCCCTGCCAGCCCAGCCCCTGCAGGATGCTGGGGCCCTGCAGCACCTGGGGAGAGCCGGGCAGGGGGCTGGGCCGGGCCAGGGGCTGCACATTGGGCTGGGGAGGGACCACAGCCCAGCCTGGCCTGGCTCACTGCTATGGCTGCATCCCTGGGGAGCAGCTGGGAGCCCCCCGTGCCTGCCTGGGGGCAGGGGCCAGGACACAGGCACCTCTGCACCCCTACATCATGAGAGCTGGGCTGGACAGGGGGTCAACAGGATTCACAGAATCACACACAGAATGCACAGAGAATCACACAGAGAATTCACAGAGAATCACACAGAGAATGCACAGAGAATCACACACAGAACTCACACACAATTCAGAGAATCACACAGAATTCACAGAATCACTCACAGAATTCACAGAGAATCACACAGAATGCACACAGAGAATCACACACAGAATCCACAGAATTCACAGAATGCACACAGGGAATTCACAGAATCACTCACAGAATTCACACACAGAATCCACGCATAGAATTACACAGAATCAGAGAATCACACATGGAATCACACACAGAATTCACACAATCACACACAGAATCACAGAATCACTGGGTTGGAAGAGAGCTTCAAGATCACCCAGTCCAACCCAGCCCCAACACCTCAGCTAAGCCCTGGCCCCCAGTGCCACATCCAGGCTTTGTTAAACACACCCAGGGATGGGGACTCCACCACCTCCCTGGGCAGCCATTCCAGAACTTTATCACCTTTCTGTAAAAAACTTTTTCCTGATATCCAGCCTGTCCAACCTAATATCCAAGCCTTGGTGCAGCTTGAGGCTGCTGGATGCCAGTTCCATCTTTAGCTCCTCCACTCCTGGACATTTCAATCCCTCAGATAATTTGTCCTTAGGGTGTTAATTAGCACCAAAAATAAAAAACCCAAGCAGAGAGCTGCCAGCACAGTGCCCAGGAGGTGCTACTGAGCTCCAGGGGGTTCATTACAGTCATTTCAACCCCAAAATCCCCTCATGGCCACCAGCAGCCCCTGAGCAAGTCAATGGTGACAGGTCAGTGCAGGGGCAGGGCTGGAATGTGCATTCCACAAATGTCACATAAAAGTTACTCAGTAAACTGCGAGACAGCAGAGAGCCACACAGGAGCAGGAACCAGGGAAAGGATCTCCCTGAGAGCCCTGGGGCACAGCGGGTGCTGCCCAACCCCTGGAATGCCAGGAGACAGGGAATGAGCAGGATTGCTCATCAGAGGGAAAGCTCTGCTGGGTTTTGTGGATCCCAGGGCTGAGAGGTGCTTGCCCAGGTGACAGAAGTGGCTCTTTGGCCTCTGCCCGTGACTCACCCCGCAGCTATTGTGAAATCCCAGCGTGACAAACACAGGAACTATTTTAAGCCCTGCAAGAACCCATGAGGGGAAGGCTGGAGGGTTCAGCACGGCCAGTTTCTAGGTGAGGCAGAGGAAAACCCTCTCTGAACTCTCACTGGCACAAAAAGCAGAACTGAGAGCTCCCCAAGAGCCTCATTCAGCTCCTTTGCAGCCCCCAGGCCACGGGGTCATCCCCACAGGTGCCAAGCCACCAAATTTCTGTGTCAGCTTTTCCTCCCTTCCTTGTCCCCATGCCAGGAGAGCTGATGCTGCAGATGTCACCAGGTCGGAGCCCCAGGAGGAGCCTGGAGGAACCAGGGATGCTCAATTGTGGGGTGACAGCTGGGCCTGCCCCACCCCACCCCTGCTCCCTCACATCGTTCCCAGGGATTACATCATGGTTAATTGCCTCCTGATGAACCTCCCTGCATCAATAAACAAACACAGAATGGCCAGGCTTGAGTCAGTGCTCGTGGTGCTGTCAGATAATCAATGGGAGCTGGAATGGAGACAGGCTGGGAAAGTTGGGGCTGCTCTACCTGGAGGAGTGAAACTTTGGGGTGATCTCATTGGGGCATTCCAGTGCCTGAAGGGCCACAAAAAAAAATAAAAATAGAGGGACTGTTCCTCAGGAATGGGAGTGATGGAGCACAGGGAATGGCTTCACAATGACAGGATTAGGTGGGATTTTGGGAAGGAATTGTTCCCTGCGAGGGTGGGCAGGCCCTGGCACAGCTGTGGCTGCCCCTGCATTCCTGGCAGTGCCCAAGGCCAGGTTGGATGAGGCTTGGAGCCACTTGGGACAGTGGGAGGTGTCCCTGCCATGGCAGGGGTGGAATGAGATGAGCTTTAAGGTCCCTTCCATCCCAAACCATTCCATGGCTTCCAAGCCTATCAGGTACCCTAGAACCATAAAGAATCCTATTTGGGGTTTTGTTGAAATGCTGGATTCAGGCCCTGGTGCCACCAAAGAGCAGCAGGTGACCCCTGGCCAGGGCACAGCAGCACAGCCCAGGCCCAGGCCTAGCACAGGCCCAGCCCAGCCCCAGCCCTGCTGCTCTGGCAGCTGTGGCAACATTTCAGCAAAAGGGAAGGGGAAGTGGCTTATGAAACACCCCAAAAACCGTTAAATAAAAAAAACACTGAAAAGCAGAAATGCCTTCCTTTGGTTATAGAAGCTGAGGGCAGGAAAGCAGCCCCAGCAGAGAGCTCAGCTCCAGCCACAGCCCCTGGGCAGCCCTGCCAAACAAAAGTGTGACCAAAGC